TTGAATTTGAACGTTAAACCAAATGTTTGCATATTTGTATCCTGAAACCAGAGACAAGATTATTTTAGAGAAACAGAACTAAAAACTACAAACTTGCCCTTTAACTGATGATCTTTTGAAATCCAGACTTTGTCGCATTAATGTGACATTTAAGGTTTAACTGTGGCTGCGTGAGGCGACCTCATCGCAGACATTACGGAACGTCTCTGTGCTCGAGGCCAACAGGAAACAGAAACCTGGACAGAAACAGAGAATCCACCAGAGAACCGGAGTGACATTTAAGCAACATGTGGACGCCAGTGTGAGGCTAGCAACTGGTGTGTGTATGTGTGTGTGTGTGTGTGTGTGATGAGCTCACATGATACAGGAAATGAGGTATTGCCAGACTGCAGAGGTCAGCTACAGGCAGCTGAAGACAGATTTCAGCATGAGTCAGACCATCAGGGTGAGTAAGAGACGTTTTGGAAAGTTGCATCATTAAATGTTTCAAACTCCCGCTGCCCTCCGATTGGATAATAATCCTTCAGAACCAGGACATTTAACTACTTTATGCAACAGGTTTAATGGACAACGTCTGTCTTCTGTTCTGTTCACAAGTAGAATGAAGGTTTCTGAATCTGATAGCTGGGTTTCAATCCGTCTGCAGTTCCTCTAATGGCCACTAGAGTCAGCAGTGAGTCTCCATAAGGCTCCATATTAAAATGTTTGTTCTTTGTTTACAGACTTTTGGTCTCTAGAGCTAATTTACCCATTCATGACGCGTAAGGTGACAGATCAATGGACTTAATTAACAAAATAACCCAAAAAATCTTACAAAATGTGATCGCTCTGAGGTTCACAACATTATGAATTTCCATAAAACAACAACAACAGAAACAAACGAGTTAAAGTCTGATGCAATATTTTGTTTCCACAAGTTTTCCATCACAGAAAAACAGAACTCTGAGAGTAAAACTCCCCTCCATTCCTCCAGTTGACCTTTGGGGTTATCTGTTAAATTAAAGACGTAGAATTATACAGATTATGCATCCAGAAATCCCAAAAGTATATATATATACACATAATACAGTAAAATAGATATATATAGACAAATGTATACTAAAAGCAAAGAGATTACAAATAAATACATTTAATTTCTAAAAATTAAGCAAGATATTCAGTTAAATGTAAGTGAAGTGAAAAATGTAAGGATGCAAACAAGACTATGAGTTTAACGCTGCAGGTGGCCGACCCTTTCAATTTTATGTAATTGAAATAAGTTAAGTAACGTCCAGACTGTAACTGAATGCAGGGAATAAAGTACTGAGGTGGTTTTATTGGGAGGAGGGAACGTTAGATGCTACAGCTACAGCTACATTACTGATCATAAAATATAAACCAGTTTCACCCAAATCACTGATAAAGTTGTGTGTTTGTAAATGTTTTTGTAATAAATAGTTAAATATGTGAACAATATAACTGAGGATCTGAT